CGGCTGACGAAGTAACGTCTTTGCCAAGCGACGAAAACCCAACCCCGATGGCAAACACCAGGGGCCGTGTCGTTTGGGGGGGGCGGCGGCTTGTTTTACAACGTCGTTGCCAAGCGACGAAAACCCAACCCCGATGGCAAACACCAGGGGCCGTGTCGTTTGGGGGGGGCGGCGGCTTGTTTTACAACGTCGTTGCCAAGCGACGAAAACCCAACCCCGATGGCAAACACCGGGGGAAGGGGAAAATGAGGGGGGGGGGAGTGTAAATAATCTTCTTTGCTGTCTCTGCCTTTGTTTCATTCCCCTGCGGCTTGCGTATCACAGGCAGTCCAGGCTAACGCCAGTTTCCATAGGAATATCCAGACCGCACGTTTACTCCTCTCGTTGCTCGCTAGGGCATTCAGCCCTAAAAAACACTCATTTTTCAGAGTATTCAAAAGAACATGAGAAAGGGACTAAGAAACGGACATTGATCGCCCCCGTTTCCCTACAATAATTCGCAAAGACCCCCATGCAAGTCCACCGGTTGCATGTCAGTTTCGGCACGCTCTTCATCGTTGCCGTACCGAGGATTCAGTCATTTATGGCCAGACATGCTCCGTGAGTGTACTGCATTTGCGCTGCACAAACCAATCCCGAACCCGACGTTCACCTGAAGGGTGATCGTGACCGGCCCTTTGCCGATGACAGACGGGACGAAGGGAACATCAAAGCGTGGCAGCTGTGACGTGTCCGGAGAGGATTCCTGTATACATATGAAGCGATTGGGTTGTGGTTGTTACTGTGGTCGTTGTCTTCGTCGTCGTCGTTTATTGTGTTGTTGTGCGAAAACCATATCTGCAACCAAAACATCGCTCTACAGAGCAACGGTTTCCGCGCTTGGATGTATGTGTAAGAGCAGCCCGGTGGCTGCACGGCAAACATTTAAAACACAACAGGTCGCACACACAAGCACATTCGCGGATGAAGGGCATGACAACTCCAATCCAAATGGAACGACATGTGCTGCCTCCCACGTTTGTTTGTGCTCTGACTGGTCGTTGTCATGCTTCATCCGGGTCGTTCGGACCCAGTCACTGGGATTCATACTCTCAGCACTACAACCGACGTTCTCCTTTGTCAAGAGTACTTGCGGTTTTTTGTAGTTCTTCTGTTGGGGTTGACCGCTATGTGCTCGGACCTGCTTAAACATAACCTCCTCTCTTGTGAGCGAACCTGATTGAACATAACCTCCTCCTCTGTGAGCGGCTTGCTCAGCATGGCGTTGATTCTTGACAGAGACAGCGCTGACCACAGATTGCGGATGGACGCCCCCTGCGCGTTTTCCCCGGCCCCCGTCGTCATTCGAACGTCTCGAAACACCACCGTTGGAAAGGATGCCCTGGAATGGAACGCCCGATTTTCATGCACGAGTGAAGGTGGGCGTGTCGCGGGAGCATATGTACATTGAGCACGACGAGTCTCGAGGTGCACGTTTTCCGATCATTGGTTGTTGGGTATCTGCATAGGATACCGGGACAGAGGTCTTGTCTTCTACGAAGTCGGGTGAATATATGCCTCGTGTTTCGTTCAGATGTAACACACGACGGCTGTTGAGGTCAAGACGCCGACAAGAATGAAACGCTACGCTGCCAAATATGAACAGTTCAAGCGGTAAATAGCGCGTTCATCTGACGACCCTACTGACCTCACGTACGTAGTAAACAGTCTCGAACGGACGCACGCACTACGGGACTCAGGCTTGCCTTCCATTGACACCACATCGCAGCGGCATCATTCCGTTCATCACCATCGCTGCACTTTTACTCCCCGATTCCTCGTCGTAGCTTGGGGCGACCGGTGTGAATGCCGCTGATCCTGTTATTGCTCCCACCTCCTCGAGCCTGGCCGCAGCCACCCGTGCCTTTCGACCCTGATCTTCCATGTCGATCTCGAGAGGGGAAGGCTCATCATCCCCCGCCTTGTCGACGGTGGAAACCTTTAACAGGTGTTGTAGAACGCGTTTCGGACAGTGAGTGTTGGTGACATAACCACATGTCGTCAGTTGAAAAAAGACACATGCCGGACTGTGTTACTTTCTTGCCACCCCAACTGCTTCGTCTGGCTTAACGTGCCACACCTGGCAGAGGATGGCGAAGTCGTATTCTCCTTCCGACACGGGTCGAAAGGTCGCAATGGTTCTCGTGCGAGATCTGTTGTTGTCCGGGAAAAATAGCGTAACAAACAAGAATGATCGCGGTGAACGGCAGGGTTGGGAAGTAGCCGTAGTGTTGTATGTGCATGTCCTAGTCTGCTTCTGCGGCGTTAACGAACAAGGCCAAGTTAGCTGGAAACACTGCTTGTGTGTGATCACCCCTCAATGTAGACAGTTGCGGAGATTTCCTCTTTTTGGAATTTCCGACGACCACTGAATGCGCACATGCTACTTCTTGATGTAGACTATAGTTCATGCCGGGTTCAACAGGTCAGTGCAAGCGGTTGTATCACCCACTATTTTGCAGTCATTCCTCAACCGTTCCACACGCTAGTGCCTCCGCTTGCCTGGCAGGCAAAGTTCCTTGAGGCCTGTCGACGAAGAAGGCGTGCGTGTTGGGCCCTCCCTGCCCCTTGGCCTCGCCGTTCTCTTTTGGCACGGGACGTAGCTCCCAACCAGGTCCGTTCTCCCCTCCTTGAATTTCACTCCCTCCGCTGCTACTGCCACGTCTACTGCTTGGCCCTAGTGAGGAAATCGAGCATGCATGAGTTCGAGTCCATGGTTGTCAAAGACACAACAGAGGGAATGGCGGGCGTGGTAGGTTCTTGCAAGCCGGGTGTAAGCACACCTTGTTGAAAGCATGGAAGCGCCGTGGGGGAGGCTCCAATCGTAACCCCTTGTTCAAGTCTACTGCACCTCGTACAAGCCGTTGGCCTAGGCGCGGACTGCAGATACCAATGACACACCTACCCGCGTTAACATTCTTGCCCACCTTTCGAGGACTGGCGGAGGGGTGGCTCTTTGTTGGCGATGTAGAACAGCTTGTAGTTGACGTCGCACTCGGAGCAGTTCTCCAACACAAGCGCCTTGGATTCCGGGGTGTTCACTTCACCGTTCATTGTTTGAAGCAGTTTTGGTTTAGAACTAAGCGTTTACAACCGAAAAAATCCCTCGTCTCCGTCAATTGTTTCGCAGAGATATGAGCCGAGCAACCGGAGCATAAGTGCTTTGCACCATAAATGGGTAGGGAATATCCCACTCTTTGGAACGGTAATACGCGATACTAATTTTACCTCCGGCTCTGGGAACCCTTCTGTGTTTGTGCGGCTGCAAAAACTAACTTGGTTTCTTGTTACACCGTGTGGTTCTTATCTCTGCAAGGTACGTCCAACACATATGGATACCAGCAGTTCCACTAAGTCCTTACCCGGAAACGGGCAATGACAGTAACTCACCCAACCTGACGCTGTAGGCCAACGATTCTGGGTGAAACGTCACCGCTCCCTGTTCCCCTTTCCCCAGGATCGTCACGGACGCCCCAGGCTTGAAATCGGCGGGCATGGCCTCCCCGAGCTGCCTACAGTCGGTGAGCACCGGCGTTTCTCCTAAGATAGATCGAACCTGAGGAGCAGAAAGAAGGGTTGTTTGGGTTCGTTGTCAGGACTGCATGTACGCAAATGATTTTCATTTCCCCGACCAAATTGATGGGATGCATTTCACAGACGGGGTCTACCGGTGTGAGATGGGGTAGGTGTATGCAAATGCGTTTGACAAACGAACGGGGCTCCCCTCTCCTGGATTACGACGAAATTCCTGGAGTCCTTCATCCCAATAAACAATAGCGCAGCAATGTGGCGCAACCAAACCGTGCCGTGCCACTACATGACGCCGAGGTCTGCCGGCCCGTGTACCAAAGTGCCTGTGATGCCCGGTACCCTGCTCATGCTGACAAAATAATGGCTTGGAAAAATTCACGCTCGATACACCAATCGCGGAAGGGGCGATGCAAACAATTCGTTCATTACGATGCGGGACCACCGTCGCTATGCTTCACAGTATTCGCATGCCACACTGTCTATGCCGTGGGCACTGCTTGACTCAGAAATGAAGTAACTCATTCCAGCAAGACCAAGAGACAACCGAGGTGTGCAGTGCCTCCCCGTAGGTTTCAGTCACCTTTATGGGAAGTTTGAACCGGTACGCCTTGGTCTCTCTCGGAGCGAAGACCACCTGGAGTGCCTTGGTTTGGTTGCCAAGAAGAAAGCCTGCCATGGGGGATACCCGTATAACTCCCGAGGACCCCTTGGGGGTATCAACCCTGAAGATCGCGGGGATTCTTGATGCGTTTTTTACCTGAAAAACCGAAAATAATAAGTGCGGTCGTAAGCGTAAGGTAGTGCTTTGCACGACGTAGACGTTTTCCACGCGTGTCCGCTTCAAGATGATCGGGTGATATTCGCTGTTCAAGAACAATCGGGGAGGAATCGGCCCCGCCGCATACCCCAGAACGAATCATCACGGCCCCTCGGTTATGTTCAAGATGCACACTACAAATAGAAGTGCAGCTTTGCAAGGTGTTCTTCATAAGACGTTCCGATGCGAACGACATCAAATTCCTTGCGATGTGGCATCTTTCAGGAACGTCGTTTTCAGCAACCTGTGCAGCACCGAAGACGGAAGCCGAAGGCAATTCGGGCATCGTTCTATTTGAAACGCCTGAAGCGAACCTACTAATATCTTGTGACGGGGGGAAGGGCCCTGTGATCATGCTATAAGCCAAAAAGACGACGAACCGTTCGACGTGACCATTACGTAGACACCTTCGGCACACTATTCTCCCTACCCACCGCTCCAGGACAGCCAGTTGTTTCTTACAACCATCACAGTCAAACATGTACAGTTTCACAATTCTAGCTCTACAAACTAACCGACAATGGACTTCTCCGAGTTCACCTTGACGACCCCGGACGAGACGATCCCCACACAGGTGGGCCGCATATAAACGACTGACCCTTTGTCCTTATCCAAACGCTCCCGAATCCTTATGCTGCTGCCGCTGCTTGCCCCCACCGATCCCGCAGCGAGCGACCGCGCTGGTTCGCCGTCACCCGCCTCCCCACCCCCGCCAGACGTCACCTGGACGGCCGGCCAAGCGCCCTGGCCGAACAGGTCCGCTTCTTCGGTGCTTCCGGGATCGTTGTTCAGGACGCATTGTAGCCGGTGGTGGTAGCCTCCTGGACCGGGAGGTGTGAACCGCACCAGGCACAGCTGTCCCGGGTGATGGGTGAAAGGGAAACCAGAATCCATTTGAGGATGATGAGAAATTCGACACGCTGTACCCGGCAGAATGGGGATCGATGAATGTCATTGAGACATGGATGGTAGGGCGATTTGGACCCGCATGATGGGGTATATTTCCACTGTTGGCCCATCCTACCCGAACACAGATGATACTCAGTGGCAGGGTGCCGGGGGCGTTCCCGATGAAAGATACATAACGTATTTCGCGGGCGAAAACGTCAAGAGAAACGCCTCGAGATCAGAAGCAATCCCTAGACTAATCCCTACTCGCAGCAATTAGTAGGTGTCGCATTCTGCATCAAGGGTAACGCATCTCTGGCTATTTTCGCATGTGACTAGCTGCACAACCCTACCCTACCCGTGCGTGTTTCATGTGGCACAGTTTGTGCACAGCAAGATGTCGAAGCGTTGCTGTACCTGGAAATCCCCCGCCGGGACAAGGCCAACGGAAGGCTTGATGGCAAAGACACCGCTCGCGTCAGGCTGGAAGTTGAAACACGCGGGGATATTGCCTTGATTTGACAATCTGCGACCGAACAGAAGGCGTAACACCAGCAGCAGCGGGTTGTGTGGAGAGCGCACATTTCTGGCCAGCCACAATAACCCAGAAACTGTTTTCAAGTGGTAAATAACCTGTCTCCACCAGCGTTCAGCATCGATCGCTTAGGAGGCGGAGGTGCTCCCCCTTGTTAAACAGGGTTCAATCAGACGTAAATGCAGTGGCGACAAGGTTGAAAGGAACACGCCAGACCAAAGGTTCTCATGAAGAGGTATATTCTGGAACCTCGGCCAAAAGGCGTAGAGTGTTTCTCTTCAAAGGCGTTTGTTCTGCTTGCAGTCCAACTGTCACCGTTTTCTTGAACTAGGTGGAGAATTGGTAGGAGGCCGCGCGAGCCCAAAGAGCACTCTGCTACAGGAACACCAAAAACAGCCTATTTTCTAACGTTTAATATCGCATTAAACTGAGGCACAGGGTTGACAAGCCAAGCTTGGTCTTCGGTACCTTTTGGCCACCGAACGCCCGTTCGTTCTGCGCCCTTCTCCTGGCCCCACCTGATGGTTTGATAAACGGTGTCCCCCACGTGACAGGCTGGGAAGCACAGCTTCTGCCCCGTGTGCTGCGTCGATAGGGAGGCCTTAGCCAAGAACTGCTCCCCGACGAAGGTGTGGCCCAACACGCGCAAGGGTAGGCACCAAGGCGGCTGCTGCGTAGCATCTTTCACCGTCCTGTCGTTGGAGATGGAACCCACCGTGCGGCGGCGGAAAATTGGAGGCAAGGGTCAACACGTCCATGATTGTGTTGAGAACGGCCGTGGCCAGGAATATGCCGAAGAGGCTCGATCCGATCCCCCACGAGTTGGGATACAGATACGTGCACCCTCAAGTACCCCGAAACTAACACTACCAGGTGCATGGTTGATTGGTGCTCATCCGGTACGACCTGCAGTGGATGAATCGCTTTTAACTACAGTAGGGTCCCTTCATGGAATGTTTCACCCTTGAGGGCGATTCCTACTTTCGACCCAATTGTGAGACCTCGGCCTAGATAGCTCCGAGTCCTTGTGAAAGGATAGAACTGATCAGGGCTGCCGAAATTCCTCACGTCTGTTGTACAGCTAGCCGTATACAGGCCTTCATGTACATCACCTGAAGGTCATTTGGTTTGCAGGGGACACGAACGCCTCGGCCTCCTCGGCAAAGTAGCAGTTGCCCTTGGTTGGGAACACTTCTACTCGGAACGACAGGCTCCCTCGTTCAGGCACGCGAGCCTCCAGCGGTGTCACTTGAAGACAAGCAGGCCCGGCTTCCTTGACGCCTCCACCTTCCCCCGGCGGCTTCAGGTTCCACACCACGTGCACCTGTCCGTTGAGGAAAACAATACTTTAAGTATTCCACCGCCGAAAATAAGGAAGTTTCTCGTCGCCCCCATTGTTAAGCTCGCCAGGAAATTGTGTTGGCAGGCCACAGCCGAACATGGCCTCAGGACCCCCTCAAGAACATCTGCAGGCCTATTTTGGAGACCATCAATGGGAGCGCTCCGATATCTGTACGACATAACTGTGCAATCACGCCGTCACGCAGGACCCCTGAGGAAACGCTCAAATAAATCACACACCTGCAGTAGTCAAGCTTTGTATTTTACCACTCAAGGTCGCAGCATGAGCTCTCACAGCGAGAAGATACTTCAGACAACCCTTGCTGACCTCGGTGTCGGAGTTATTGGTCAGGGTGATTGTCTCCTGTCCTCCGGTAGAAGAAAAACCAAAGTCGACGTTGGACCGGTCGAGGCACACCCCGTTCATGTAGGCATCTGATCGTATGAAAATCGAATGCTCGGTGAGGAGTAGGGGGCAGCGAAAAACAACGCCACCGGCAACAACCTGTTGCAAAGTAACCACGAGCACGCGACTGAGATATATTTTCTTCAGCCACGCCACGCAGTAGTGTTTTAGGCATTGGAATTGCACACTTAAAATATTGTTCTGTGCGGGGGAAAATGGGAACGAATTTCTCCCCGCAAACCATACCACTCTGGCCGGGAAAATAAGCCACATTTGGACATGTGGTGCAATAACTCATGCAATTTTACGCTTTTATTAAACGTTTTTTTACATCGTTATTGACGTCTTCCAGCGAGACTGTCAAATCAGCTGTTTTTTTATTCAACACCATATATATGTCTCCGCAGCAGTACCTGGAGCAGGGGTTGTTGTTGTTGTTGTTGTCTTCACATTAAAAACCGTTCCGAGCTCTCTCTCTACCCAGTACCTTCGTATGTCCGTAATGATCCAACACTCGACGCAGTCGATTCCGTGGTCGCAGGCTAACTTACCCTAAAAAGGTACACTAAGAAAAACTGGCCCCGAGGGGCCCGCAAGTCAATAGAAATCAGCGACAGATATTCTGGAATCCTCCACTCCCTCTGCGCGCTATGCGAGGTATAACAACTAAGACTAGGAGTCACCATCACGGGCCGGAGAGAAAGAGGTACACCCCCTGGTTCAATCGACAACGCAAGCAGAGACAAGGCCATCTGGCACAGAAAAAGAGAGAAAAAAAAACAGACAAAAAGAGAAGAAAATCAAAGGAAACAGTAAGAAAAGAGAAAACGAAATGTCAGAGCTCGAAAAGAAATATCGCCGGTAAAGTGCCTTCCCATACTCCTATCACCATGCCCGTTGCTGAAGGCACTGCTGGGACACCTACCAGGGAATATCTGAATGAAAACTAGATATGCGGTTTGATGGACCAGCTCCTCGAGGGCAGCACAAAATGGCAAGTTCGCCCATGGCGACATCAAGCGAGTCGCACAGCAGCTTGGTGCTCGCGCAGCAGATGTTCTGTAATCATCCCCCATCCCACGCGATGTCTTCCACCCGCCCCCTCGGCATTTTGGTGGATTTTGGCACCTAGGGCCAGTCAAAACTCCGAATGTGGCTTATATTCCTTTTACTCCAAAAGTGGCGAGTATTCCCGGTCAAAGTGGTACATATCAACGTTCTGGTACACCTACAGTCGAATGGAGTGCACCTGTCGGGTCAATGAAGAACTCAGCCGCGATAGCTGTTTGCACTCGGGTAGCCTCTCCGCTCCTAGTCAGCGGCCTCGGCACGCTGCACCGCTGGAAGGGAAGCGTGCCCTGGGGACCGACGCTGTGAAGGTAACGTTGTGTCGGATGAATATGATGTACATGTATTTTCAATGATGGCTTGTGTCGTGTCGTGGATAGCACTTTGTGATTGGTACTCTCACCGCAGGGTCTCGGTCACTTCCCCATGGCGTGGGAGCTTTCTGGTTCTGTTTCTACATACAACCCATGTTGTCGTTCATCGACCTTGTCGAACACTTGCACATCAACCCACTTGGACACATGACCTGTGCCGAAGGCTTTGAACGTCGTGGACATTAGCGTTTGGCTTTTCGCTTCGGTGATGGTGCTAGTGTATGTTGAAGCGAGAAAAGAAGAGCGCGAGACAAACACGCCAGAAATAGGCAATAAAATCGGTTTGTCCAGAACTTTTGTCTAGCGAGGGTATTAATGCACCCATCTCTCCTTGCAACTCCAACAATGTTGAAAGCGGTTGCCGGCCTTAACGTCGAACTGAACTACGTCGTAATCTCCGAATAAAGGTCGATAGATGTCAGGTCAGTTAGTATACCTAGGTAATCACCTAAGGAGTATTACCGGAACAGTCTTTGGCATATTGATTCAGTAATCGTATCATTGTTCTCACCTACGGGTCATACATTAAACCTTGAGGAGTATGGTACATCGGACGATTGTCCTGTCGATATTCTGGGAATGTGTTTTTCATCGGATTGAACGTCTATTACCGTGATCCGTGCGTTGTATTCGCCAGTGCGTGTGTTCTCCTATATTCAATTAGGCCAAACGTAGATACGCAGGCAGAATGTCCCGTTTTCAATATCAAACCCACCCATCCATGTTCTCTCCACCAACGCATAGCCCAACAATCATTGGATGCCGACACTAGCAAGTCGTCCCAATATCAAACCCGCCCATCGTATTTCTCCATGCACATAAACCAACAACCATGGATGCCGACATTCCCACGGATACTCACTTCGCGAAGAGATCACTCATGCCCTCGGTTGTCAGCATTTTGTCCAGGGCCTCCGGCGAAAGCTTGCCGAGTCCCACGTTCTCCCTTTCCAGCAATTTGCAAACGATTGTTAAGGTTGTGTAAGGACCTGGCATTCTTAGCCTCTATCCTACTCCAACTGATATCTAGACTAGTTTTTCTTGCTGGAACGTCTACGGCTGGACTGACATTGCTGGTCAATCTCACTGTAGCCCGATGTGAAGTTATTGCAGCACACACGGGGTACATTCGCATCTACTCTACTTTGGCAAGGCAAATGCAGAGCCCATAGACTGCAGCAACGACGAGATATGACGAAACAGTCTGCTCCTTCTAGTGATACGCGCTGAACCTTTCGTGCTCAGGAGAAGCTCCTGTTTGTTCGAAACACCAGCCAACGAAAGCCTTGTACGCTTGTGGGTTTGGTGAACCACCTGTTTCGAAAGGCTTGGACATGAGCATGTCTCAGAGGGGCCGGGCGCTGCTCCTGCACCTCCCCCTTGGCCACGACGTACGCGGTGCCCATGGCGTCGAGCACCAAAGGTTGTTGATTCTCCAGCAGGCAGAACACGCGCCTGCAGTAGCAACAGCGAGCGGCAAATGAGCACCACGGGAGGCATCAAAACGAGAAAATACTGTCCAAAACAAAATGTTTGCCTGAAAATCTACTGTTGGCGTGTCGGGCACTATGGTGATGTCGAACAACTACCCACAAACAGTACAGATGGTTTGAAGAGTAATTGTTTCCCAGACGTTTGGTGCATACTCCTAGGAAAGAAGCCGCACGGCGGCGAACCATGTAAACACATGATATTTGAGAGACAGCGAGAATTCGTTTTGGACACGGTTTGGTGATGGATGGACCGTGGTGAGTGTGTGCCGTTTGGAGCATCCCTTCTGTCTAAAATAAACGTGTTGAAGCACACCTACCTGTAGTAGTTTATTGGCTTGGTGGGCGTAAACGTGAGGGTCACTTGGGCCTCTCCGGGGTGCTCGGATCCGGCAGACGGTATGATTCCCCGCGTGTGGCTGAAGTGGAAGATTGAGCTGTCTCCCTGTTGGAAAAGGTACGAAAAACGTATTTGTAATACCTGCGAGGCGTAAGTTAGTATGTAAGTGTCAAAGTGTCACCTAATTCCCTGCCAATGAGAAGTCTACGGCGCGCTTCCCACATGTGGCCGAACGGTAGCATTAGCAGCCTGGTCACCCATACCCTTTCCCCGCTATCCGGATGGAAGACCTCTGTCCGCGTACTAGGATAAAGGGGTTGTCGAGGGAGTGTGACTCTAGGAAAGTCACCGAGGGATAGTATTGTCATGTATTTTTGTAACTGCGTCTAGGTATGATGCCAAATATGTCATATCGCTTCTCACTTATTGAGGTTTCTCTTCTTTCTGAGTTATTCTCTTCGTTGCCGTTTGAACGTGTCCATCGGGAGAGCATTCACACTCGCAACATTATCGTAAAAATCGTCGCGGCACCTGAATGACGAAACAGTAGCGGCATGGCGTGGAAGACTCGTTGTAGAGGTTGATCACTCGTGTCGTCGTCACACCGACTTTCACTTCACGGAAGTTCACTGAGTCCGGAACACCGCACCCCCTGGCGAAGGGGTCTTCCTTCTTTTCCAACCGAACAGAACACCCGATTGCCCGGCCTTGGATCCCAACCGCAACCTGAGCGAGAAAGGAAATCGCCTCGTGATACACTATCGGTCATTTGATAATAACAAGAGGAAATTCGTGGCATGAGGGGTGGTGGTACTTGTCGGTATGTCTCCACTCCTCTATGGTCTATTCCAAGGACAGTTGAGGGCCATCCCGCCTTGTGCCGTCTGACTACCATCATGGCAACTGCTCGGAACGGTGGCTAAGCCATCCGAGTCTCAACGGAGTCACCAGGTTAAGTCCGAGGCAGGACCCTCTTCGGCAGAACGTCTTCTACACAAAGGACGAAAACGTCAACCACGGCGATGGGAGATTAGGATAAACGATCAGCAGCCCCATGCCCTTCTTCTCACACCTTGTTGCCCCCGACGGTGACAACCTCGTAGTGGTCCCTAGAAAAAGTGCCCGCTGAGACGGGCGAGTATGTTGCCGTCACCACTACTTCATCCTCCGGCGGTATTACTCCGTCGCAAGGGTGCACCGAAAACACGGCCTCGCGATCCCCCTCCAGCCGACGGATCTGGAAAGGAGAAAGATCGTTTTCCCAACACATGTTACCCTTGATTTTAGCTACTCAATCCGGTTTGGATTTCTTGTTGACAAAGGATTTTGTGTACAACCGTACGGCTCTCTGTATGGTGGCCCACGTATTGAACATGGGTGAAATCCGTCTTCCAGCACTCGGATTCCGAAAAACATTCGCGTATTGAGTCCACCGTCGGAAATTGCACCATGTGGAAACACGATGATGACGAGGGCAGCCACAACGACGAAGACGACGAAGACAACGAAGACAACGAAGACAACGAAGACGCCCATGGCGAACCATAAGTCGAGTAAGTCAAAGGGGATATCTTACGGAGAATGCTGCCGGTACGACGCTCTGGTTTCTCAGCGTGAAGTCCTTCCGTAGATTTCCCCCGCGTGCATCACTCCCCGCTCCTCCCCCCACTGTGACGATAGTCTGGTCTCCAAAATCTATTTCGTCTTCTGAAGGCACGACGTAGCAGTACTTGCCGACAGCGGATACCTGGGAGTGTGATAAAATGGATTGAAGACCCGACAACAACATTGGACTGGGTTGCCTGGCAGATGGATAAGAGGCGAATACGGTTGAGAGCTACCACTAAATTGAGCAAAAAGGTACACAGCTCGTTCAACGCATGCTACGCTGTACGCATTCCTGACTCGTCGATTTATTCCATATTTTCGCCGACAGAATTTTTGTTGTGCATGGTCGTTCCGTCTGACCGGCATACCCCCACTGCCGGCTCCCTATATACATACACTGGCCCAGACTTGAAGCGGAAGGACCGAAAGATTCTGCAACAGAAATTTCTTCTGCCGCTCATCACGGGCTGTCTAGCCGATACGTTAACAGGAATTGCGGCCATCGGGCGTGCCTCGTAGCAGCAATCCACCTTCATTCGTCCCACCCTCCCCAAACTTTGACCCTACAGTTCAACCTGAATCGGGAGACAATCCTTCATCCAGAAACGGGCACCTTCATATCCATTATGGGCTTGGGCTTGATGGCGTTTACCCCTTGCCCCACCCTCAGCGCCGCCTGGCTCACGAAAACTGAGGCATCGGTGGGCTTGATCGAACACGTCACGGCCTTTGACTCGCCGACGGCTACGACCCCTTCCGATGGGGACATCGTAAACGGCGGGGGAATCGTCCACTGGATTGGTGCAGGCACCTTCCGTTGTTTCGGTTGGGGGTACAAGGGGCCGGAAACGTTCATGTTCTTCCCCCCGGTCCTGAGTTTTGGGGTAACGTGCCGAACGGTCGCTGAAACTTCGAAACTTCATCGACTACCCTAAAAATGAGATGTGGATGTCTTCAGACGGGAATATTTGTTCTCGATGAGAAAGTACAGATCAGCTTATATTGTTCGTGGTCAAGCGGCAGAGTGAAGAAGTCGGCGATGCATGAGCGATGCTTTGCTCCTTCGTTAACGGATGGGACTGATGTCTGACGTAATGTATATCCTCGACAGTATGTACCAAAGGTAGGGGGGGTGGCAGGAAAAGGCTTGTAGCCGCGCAACAACCGGGCACTGAGAATACCGAAATGACATTCAGAGACTTGCCTCCTTGACCACAAGGCAATCCTGCATATACCGAAAAGTACCGAAAATTGTGTTTCTGTTATTGTTTTTCACCGCCAAACGGCTTTGTCGAGCTGGGATCTTCTCTCACCTCTCCCGTATTCTGCACGAAAAATACCAGCTCGGACACGTCGTCCGCTTGGCAGTAGCCAAAGTCTAACCCGACGGGGATGCCGACCTGACAATAACGCCATTTCGGGGAGAAAAAAGGTCTTGATGGTTGTGTCTCTTAGACCAAACCAGGCACGGCAGGATGGGTACGATGTACGAAGGAAACGGGCATGTTGGTTGTGTCTCTTGAGACCAAAGCAGGCACGGCGAGACGGGTAGGGATGTAGGCCCGAAGCCCCCCTCAGTTGAACGTTCGACAAAAAGGCAGGAAAGCACAACTTTACTCCAGACTATCCCCTGTGCTGTCCAGCTTCCTCCCACGCTATGATGCCCTAGTTGTACCTGCAAGGTCGGGAGGAGCGCTCTAACAGGAACGTTGAAACCTCCAGCGTTTGGACCGTCCAGGACCTTGAAGAGGATGACGTCATCGTAGACTTCGCTCGACACTGGCCGGAAAACCACATCCACTTCCTGCTTGTCGCGTAAGAAGATACGGGAAGTGTATTATCAAGAATCGCTGCTCCTTCTGGCAGAAATCATGAGTGCTGTCTTGGGCCTGCTAGACTAATGGAAAAAGCAACGCCGCAAACCAAGGCCTGGTCGTGCTAGCATGTCAGATAGATTATACTTCGTACTTCCTATTGCATGTGTGAGAGGAACCTACAGTAGATCGAACAGGTGCTGATAGATCTGCAATGGGCTCCTTGGGGCACGGGGGAGGAACCAGTCGGCAGACTACGCCTCTTCATTGAGGTTCCCGAGGATGTGGTGCTACGTTACTCACAAAAGACCCAAAGTACAAGTAGTTCAATGGAATACAGCTTGGTGACAGCACGGTACGCGGGCCCATGGTGGAAGATTACGCGCTTGCATCTCATCTTCCTTTCCTCAGACCATGCAGTTGTTAACCAGTAGATGATTTTGCTCAGTTCGTATTTCATATTTTTGCTATGACCAAACCGCTGGTTCAATGAAGATTCAGATTAGCGTGCGCCATGCAAAAGATGCGAGAGAATGACGACCTCAAAACCCAGGGGGTCGGCTGAGGCAATCCTTGCCCTGCTCAAATTCGTGTGCAGCTCATACCTGCATTGTTCCCGGGCTGAGAGTGATAACCTCGGGATAGGCCAGCGAAAAGTACTTGGTCGTCGGTAGGCGGTACTTGAGCTTCTTTAGCTTTGATGAGACGTTCTTGACTCGAAGTCGTTGCACATACTCGCCGCCCGGGGCCCATTCTCCGCCTTTGAAAACAATGCCATCACCAAATGGCCCCGTGCAATCGATGCCGAAGACCTGGGCGAGATGTCGGATGTCGATCAAACAACAGCGTTTACCTGTGAAAGTGCTTTGGCGCCTTGGAAAGAATTAAGCATAACGGTGCGTTTCTTGTCACTCTCCCAGTGACAAGATACCCCGATGGAGCTATATCTTCCTACACTTTGTATGTGCACTCATAGTTGGTTATACTCCCGACAGGTGTCCTCCACATAACTCATGTTTTTACATCTATCTAGCAATGGACACTCGTCAATTTCTTCCGAATTTGCTTTTCAGGTATAGAAAACGAGCGGCAAAACCTTGTTTCATTCTGAAGATGTCGGCTTTCTCTTTAGACATCAACCCACCGGAGAGTGCACCGCAGAGCGCGCTCTTATTCTGTGCTACCCCGCAGAGGAACCACGCTAGGACACCATTTACCATCCAACAAAGGCTACAAGCATAGACTAGTCTACATTTCGCCGGCGCTTGAGCTGCCTGCTGGTATGTCAAGCCCCAGTTCGAAACACTGCGGAATCCGAATACCCCGCAAACATGAAGAGGGTCTTTTTGCTTATAATTAAAACGTACAGCAGTAGTCTACATCCCAAAATCTCGGAATCATGTCGATGTCCCGGAGTCTCGGAATCATGTTCAATTGCGAATACTTGTTTGGGAGGAGTAAGATCTATAATGTCAGTGTGAATGGGCTGGACACACGCGATCGCCCCAGAAAAATCCTGTGGTGGCCTTCACGAGTACGCGTTCTTGCCGAATGCTGCTGTCCAGCGATGGCAAGTCATCGTTTCGTGCGTACAGCAGTAGGGCTTACATGGTGTTGTGTCTGACATGCGTTGATTATCTACCTGTATCAACACTGCCGCCGAACGGTCAACATCCTGTCACGTTCGCAAACAGGACGGAACCTTGGCTTGCGGGGAACACAGAAGCTCACACCCCCAGAGTTGCGTACCTGTAGGCGGCTCTTCCTTGAGAGCACCTCCCCGGTTTGCCCCAAGCCCCTCGGCCCGCCTACGGTTTCCATGGTACCGCCCTCCGCCGAAGCGCACCCGCTGTCACCTGGCCAGGGACCGCTTTCGCTGTGTCCGACATCATCAGCACCTCTCGGTAGCACCATTTTACCCACCTGGTCTACAGCACGGCAATCGGGGTAGTAGTTTCATACGCCACATGCTCTGACTGGATCTGCCATGCATGTTATTGCGTCCACAGGCGCGGGGCCCACGCCCATCAAGAACTATGTCGTAAATACGATGTCGAAGGGAAAATAACGAGGAGAACTGAAACGTCTGAACTGAACCTGAACCTGAAGAACCATTTCGCGGATACCTTTTCGGGTGCGGAAATCGGGCTGTCATTCTCCGAGCTGCATTCTCCTCTGTCCTGCCGCGGTGCGCGATTTGTGAGGTTGATCCCGCCGCACCCTTGAGCCCCTCCGCTGCAAGCTGCAACTGGGCAGAGGCTGGCGAGAGAGAGAGGAGGGAATTTTGACAGCAAGACTGCTGTCCAAAGCTCGCAGCATGTTGTTGGCGAGGCGGAGGCTCCTTCCGAGTGGTCGTGGAAGATTGGCGGCCCCATGTTGCAAGCTGTGGCTGCCAGATCGCCGTGATGCCGAAGCGTCTCATGTGGCCCAAGCGTCGCGCGAGATTCGTGCTACCAGGCACTTGCCGAGGGGGCACAGCTTCTGCACATCTACTGGCACTGCTGGTGCGTTATCACACCGACAGTTAGAATGCGAGTGCGCGTTCTTGGGCAAGGCACGGAGTGTTGGAGGGTTGAGGTTGTTTCATGGTACCAGCAGAGCTGCCGCGAAGGCGAAGCTAGGGCGCGGAGCGAGGACGGAGACACCCGCTATCCCTTCGTTCATCGAGATAAGGTTAGTTTGAGGAGGAGGCTAGGCCGTTTATCCTGCTTGTTGTGTGCCTGTCCACAGCACAAGTGTAGTTGCCAGCAGACTGTAGATTCTCCCCGCTCGTACACCAGGGCGTGCGTGTACTGTACCCCCACAACACAGGGAACAGGGTTCCTTCCCAGGGAACTCGGGATCATTCTCTGATTGCCGAAAATGCTATCATTTCTGGAAACACTTGCGACCCCCAAAATTCCTCCCTTTCGGTGATCCCGACACGGGATAGTTCCCTTTCGGTGATCCCGACACGGGATAGTTGTAAGGAGGATTCACTGAAGTTGTCCAACAAACCATGTGGAACACGGACTCGTCGGTGGCAATTCAGGACGTGGCGGGCGGATGTGTGTATTCAATTAGGGCATGTCGCTGCCACAGGTGCTGCCTGCTAACGGTTCAAGCGATAAGGCATGCCACCATTAGGTTCTCGCATGCGAAAAAATTGCAGCCGATGCTCGTGTAGCCGTTGTATTGGAGAAGAAAGAGTGCCAAGAAGACAGCAAGCATCCGTTGACCGCAACTCAAGAATCAACCCTTTCCAGAGCACCCTCAATCAAGGGTGCGGATTGCACGGCGAGCACAGCTTGCTCTAACTGACACAGAAACACATGTAGATTATTGGCGCTCTCGTCAACATCTTCAAACCTTGCATCACCCCTCTTCTTGCACATCACCCCAATTTCTTCCTCTTTTGGTTGTGTTTGTTGGCTCCGAGTGCCTGCGGGCCACACGAAATGTTTCGTGTTCCATGTCTGAATATTGTTACATGCGCACGTTTATGGGACACACGACGTGTAACAGGGACCAGGGAGTTCTGAGTTCCCTGTTCCCTGTTCCTTTTTTTTGTCTGCAGGGTTAGGGTGGGTCTTGCCACCCGAGAACTCAATGGAGTTGGCTCTACTCGAACGCTCATGTCGATGCATCCAAATCGAAAATGGAAACCAATATCGATGACACAGTAGACGCCCGAAAGTGTCCGTTGCAATTATTCACGCCGTGGCCGTGAGAGCCACGAGGCACCCCAGACAGCGAGCGACAGTGCCGGGTGTCGACCATGATCAGGCGGGTTGAAAATGTTGGTCTCGGATCGGTACGCTGCGAACACAGCGAGTAATGTGTGATTGAATACGCTGGTTTGAAGGAGGAAAGCTGGAAATGATACCGTTGGCAAAAAATAATCCCACGGTGATCACTCCCTCTCCCTCCTATTTTAGAGCAAATCTCGCTCCAAGAAAGTATACCGTGCTCTGCTGGATGTCAGCTTTGAGCCAAGGTATCGCTTGCATCTCCAAAACGTCTGTAGGTGGCTAGATGAGTAGCGATATGAAGGCATCTCCGGCTTTCAGAGAGTCTGGCAAGCAGCTGGCAAGCAACATGATGTTCCCGTTCACCGTTTCGATTTTCGATTTCGATGTATTCAGTGTATCGTGTTGATTTTGCCATCGCTCTTGGAACACAATCTTCCGTATCGATATTCCGGCGGCGGAACGAGAGTCAGTTGTCCAATCAGTGGCATTTTCGATTTTCGATTTTCGATTTTCGATGGAACACTGCGGTTACAAGACCCACCCTTAGTACAAGCCCTCACAAGGAAACACCTAGCTATGGGTGGTGACAGAGAACCACCCAAACCTCTGATTGGTCAATGGCGCCAGCGCGGCCGTTTTATCATGTAGACCACACCAATCGCCAAACGCGACACCGTTGTACGTCACCGTGCCCCTCGCGACACCCTACAACGTAATACTTGAGGGTTGAGGCTAGGGTTAGGGTTGGTTGGATCTGGTTTGGTTGGGTTGCTGAGTGTGAGAATACTATTTCTCAGAGTCAGAGTCCCTAAAGTGGCGATTATCCGTTTACCAGCAGAGGTATTTGCTCTCTTAATATATGGCGAGGAATAGTCAAGCGTGGCCGAGGTAACTCGGAGGTGCTAGTTTCACGAAAGGTGGAACTGAGCGAGAGAGGGCCCTCGTGGGCATCTCCACGTCTCCGAGATTCACTGGAATGGTCACTGTATCCGATGAATCTTTCTTGCAAAACATCCTCGGAGCAGTAGAATAGGCATTGTCCGTAGTCTCCGGGTCTTAGCTGGTCGCATGTGCGTCCCTACCCCTAGGAAAATACCTATATCCTGGTTTCGACGGGGTGAATAATAGTTTGAGTGGTGATTGTTGGTCACGACCCGTGGGTTGTAGATCGGTGCTCCCTGCTCACACGCCTTTCTCAAGGCGTGCGGACCCCCAACGTGTTATTGACAAAAAAAGCAACGTTAATTCGCACAATAGGGGCCGACAGGAAGCCGTAGGGCTGCCCAACGCTAATCTCTGAGATGTGTTGGTTTTATATTGGTTTTATATTTGAAACGCCCCGGAGACACCCAGCTTTCTATTCCACAATGTGCAGACGTAAAGGCGACCCAGCCATCCCTACGATGGATGTTCAGACGAATCCTCAACATACGGCAGAGTCTTTCACGTTCGGTGAAATGCTGTAAATGTAAATGTCCCCCGCTGACTCCCTGCGCTTTCTTCCCACCTACGGCACGACTTCCTAGGGAGTTGGCGAGCCTCCTGCGGGTCAAACCAAGGGCGCTGTTCAAGTCCATGGGCGGCTATCAGGAGAAGAAAAAGCACAGGATCGTTCTCAGCGGAGTACCCTACGCGTTTCCAAACCTTGGGAACGTGGTCGTTCCGTTTCAGGTGAAACCGACCCCTCTTCTTGACCTCGGACCTTTGACGCCAAAAGGGGGGTGGTCGTAAAAGAACGATTGCTGAATTGCTACCTTCTCGGTGGCGATTTTTCGTTACGCATTACCCTTTAATACCGCATTGAAACAGTAAGTACACACCGTTGTCAAGCAGCGGCGCGTTTGCGTTGACCTGGGTCACCTGAACAGCGCGCACTGCACTTCATCGCGCACTGCTGCAGCCGGACGATCCTTTTAGCGCACTCTTCCTTCGAAATGCCGGTTTTTATGTGATGACTAGTGACGAATGTGTTGACAGTGTAGAATGACGCTGCAAATACGAATCGGCGTTAGCATTAATGGGAAAGGACGCAACAGGGTATTCTGGTCGAAAAGCGACTCAGCTGGTACTACTCAGCGGCGTGAAATGAACCGAGATGATTGGGCAACGCCCAATTTCACCCCGCCGCGTCCCTGCCGTAGCTTCTTTTCTCCAGAGTTGT